TCGGAAAACACTTTATTTCGGTAAATGTTCTTTATATCTATCTTATTTAAAATTTTTGGTGTAAACGTCGAACAAATGCAGAATTTATAGATTTATCAAAGAAGATAGTAAAAGGAGACTTATGACACACTTTTGTTGATGACATTCAATCAATACTTATCCAGTAAGACTAAAGTTAACAGAATGTCTTGACTAAAGAAAAGTTCTTCCTATATATAGAAAGTGGTTGCTTCAAGTTCTCAATTTAACACAATATCTAAATTTATTATTCTAATTTATAGCTCTTTTTTACGTCTCCCAAATCGCATGATTATCGAGAAAAGTTTATTTTTCTTTACAAACACTTATTAATTCCTATAGTTCTTTTAAGTACCTAATTTGCCTGATGCAGTCCATTATTATTTCTAAATCTTCCTAAATGCATTCACATTGGTATTCCAGTAATGATCAAACTTATACAAAGTTATGAAAATTGCATGGTCTGTGGCGACTACTGTACAAATCCAATCTTCCGATGACGAACTTTTATAAATTTCTTACCAAAATCTGTGCGATCTGTACAGCAACTAACACTAGACATGTCTTGATTAGTTTGGTGAACTTATGCTCCCCGGACTATTTTTCGTACACTAAGTGTCTACCTTCGGAGTTCCCGAAAGCTAGAAAGTTAGATCCCACAGAGCCGTAGGCAACCGCCGTAATTATTATAGCTGGAACGGAAGTACGATGCTCGTTGTGTTCCCGTACTTGTAGAGATCCCGGTCATTTATTTTGTAATTGCCCATACTGGCAGCACAGGTACCCTGTCATTACCCTACTTCCTCCTCCCGATCAGTCGACCATCTTCTTCCAACTAGATTTGTGTTCGTCTTGGAGATTGCAGAAGTTATACGGCCGATTGTGTGCATTGCAGTCCAGCAGTCCGTCTGACCAATTTGTGGCCACCTCAGTTTCGTGCAACGGTGATCTTAAGTCGATTAAGTTATATAGTTACACTATAAGCAGCTAAAATTCACCTCCTATGTGCACGGCGTATTTGATGTTGCATCCAATAGTTTGTTCTTATTCAATTGTGCTGCCTTTCCATGGCCATTTGCATGGGATTTGGGATGCTGAAAGCGAATGAACGATTGGCAGGACTTCACGGGTCTTTCTACCTTTCTTAAATAAGTGTTACTTAAACGTAACGAGTAGTAATATACCAAATGAAATTTGAGGGGATGGCGGACTTAGCATATGAAAGCCCTGTAGCTGATACTTAGTGCTGCTATCCTCGCTTTAAGGTTCTTACTTATCTGTCTCCCTTACTACCTGCATCAAGTATTTAAAACAATATCATTAACCCTCGCCGCATCCTCAGCCCTCTGAAAACGAGTCTCAGTACTTTGTACGAGAACCAAACGACTTCAGTTTATTAGTCTTCTTTGAGTTTGAACTGGCCGCGGTATATCAAAAGGTGAACATTTGGCAGCTGTGCTTCAGACTCTGATTACGCAAATTGTCTGTATTGGTGTCTTTTACTTTGACGTGAAGTCGGAACTTGCTAGTACTTCCTTCAGTTAATAGCTGTTCCTCTATCGGTACATTTTTGATCAAGATAGAGAACAACCAATCTGACCACCGATGGTAGAGTGTCATTTCAGAATAGTTTTTTATGTGCTTCCGCTGCACACTGGCTGCCTGAGTGTACAAGCTCCATTACGGATACCACCTCATGGATTACGGGTTCATCTGTTCAGCTGTTCTCATATTATAGTGCCTCCAAGTACTTCAGTTCAAATTAAAACTTGACTGACCGCCTAGAATGTGAGTAGATCATTTCGTCACTAATATAAATTTATGTCATTTACTCACAAGAACTGCGTGTACCCAAAACAGTGTACGTCGCAAAATACTTATTAAATAACCTCAACAGTAGTGACATTTGGTCAGGTTGCTACTGCTTTCTGCTTATGTCTCTGCTGATGAATCCGCGACGGATCTCGAACCGTCAGGCGAATAAAAGTACTGTCCCAGCGATGGAGTCGTCTTCTTCTCAATAGGTAAAACTATGAAGTACATAAAAATTTAGTATACTAGGCAGTAATGTCAGGGTTGGGGTTAGGTATGACCGGCATATGAAGGCTAATAGGCTAGAAATAGCCATTGCAGTCTCCCTTGTCTTTGCTAGCAATATTCGTCTGTCCAGTCACTTTGCGGCTGCTGGCGGGTCCCGTCAGTGACTCCAAGCCACAGCGAGACGAGGGAGTTCTATTAGCGATCGGTGAGCGTTCATCAATGAATAATGTTAGGGTTTTAAAGACTTCAAAATGTATCACCTTGACCAGTGCACTGTACAATTACAATGTCTGCTATATGGAAGAGTCTGTTCTATCGTCCCTTAACTCCCATTCATACTGCAAAATACTAATTTCATTTTTAAGAACAAAAGGCCAAAAATATCAAATTCACTCCGCTTTAATGATCGGCTTTTTTAAGTGTTTAATGTGAAAATTATGAAAATTTCAAGTCCCGAATCGTCATCTTTCTTTACCTGCCATGTGAATATATGTGTAATCAAAATGTATAAAAATCGAACAGGTTCAATAATAATGGTGGCTTGGCCTTTAAGATTTCCAACAGAAACGAGAGTAACATACACAACTCCCTAATGATGTTTGACCTTGCGTCAACGAGATATTTGGACAAAGTTAGCATTCCTTTACATTTTCCAACCAGCAATTTGAACTGTTGGATAATTTACTATATGTTTGATCGCAAGTCTAGCTGGGTCATTTTCGAGGACACGTAGGAGACATCGCACTAAAGGTTGAAATCTATGAATGCATTGCATGGAATGGATAAGAAAAGAATCGATTTTAAACTAACTGATGAGCTGACTTTAGATTCGCGACTCCAATGTTTTCACGTAATTGCATACCCTTAACAGCAAAATCGTATAAAACTCACAAACTAGAGAGAAGATAACAATGGTGCAGTCGAAGATATTCCAGCCATCCTTGAAGTAGTACCATCGTTGGCCGGCAATTTTTAAAATGAATTCGCCGGTAAAAATAATGACAAAGATTTTGTTTATGATCTCCATGGCTTCTTTCACCGTCTCTGACTGGTGATGGTGTTCAAAGCACATTATTATAGTGTTGATCCCTATCATCGCCATAATGAAAAGGTCGAACTTTTGGTTGCTCACGATCCGGAAGGCCATTCTCGAAATGCGAAGCTAAAAGGATCAAAGACCGAATTAAAAGTCAAAAATCGTATTGCCGACAAAATCGAATAACATTTGAATGATAGTTGCCAATTAAGTTACACTCAGCTAACATCTTATAGGAAGTTTTTTCATTAATCTTAGGCGTAATTATTTGCGACTTTCGTTCTGGACGTGTATTTTTCTCGACAATGAGTTGACATTTTTCGATAATTGTAAAACTACCACGGAAACAGACAGCTGAATAAGAAAGGATATTTCCAAATTCATGGTTAAGGTAAATGATTTTAAGAAATATATTATTTTGAAGTTTCTGGTTGACAGATAGAACAAAATCGGTAGATAGAGATGGACAAATAAATCACTAAAATTCGTACATTGTTAATCAGAATTTCAGGGAAAATCTGAAGCTCATCGCATTCAAAATCGCGAAATACTTACTAAGGAATGCGGTGAAAGGAAATTTCTCTCAATTTACACCAGATGGTATGAATTTGATTACGAGTACAACTGTACTCGACCTTTTTAGTAAACACTCAGTCTCTCCGTGTGTGGCCTCCACTCTACTATTATTCCTGTCAACAGCCCGGATAGATAGAAATTATCAAAAGAAATTTACACAAGGCAAAAAGTAATCTTTCCATGCAAGAAAAAACTTGTTTTTGTACACAATAATTACATTGAACAAATGGCTATAGATAACTGGTCCAAGTCTTTGACTGACAGCTTTAATGCTCTTTTGAATGTTAATATGCAATCTAAAAAAGGACCAAAATTTTGAATTTCTACTTATTCCATATTAATTAGCTGTTTTTGGCGCTCCTCTGCCTTAAACACATTTATATTTAACATTAGATCAGTGACTTGTTATATAGCCCTTGTCTCACTTTCAAGTGTTTAGTGAAAATTAACTGTTTTTATGTTAATAAATAGTAATTTTTCAATCAACCTATGTCTTTGTTTTTACTTATGGTACGTCGTTTACTGCAGTAAAACTTGGGGGATGCCGCATGCGCTGATCTCGCGCAATATGAACTTTGTTGTCTTTACCACGATATTTCATTAGTTTTAACATCTACTATAGTTCGTGGTAGAGTCCTTACTGGACAAAATTAACCATGATTATGCCACCGAGTGAACAAAAGACGGGCCGCAAAACAGTAACCCGAAGTCTGGAGGGCCACTCCATAAATAAAAGGGGTTTCCGAAGCATAGATCATCGACCTCAGGCGATAATACGCCGCCACGTGGTGCAACCTAAAGGCAGACTGCCCCCTACTGAAACCCCCGCAGTTGTCTATTAAATAGGTTGCAAGGATGGAGACTGCAATTAAGTTGGATAAATAGGGCGCAAATTGCAGACCAGAACACAAAGCGGTAGCCCGAAGACTAGACCCAAACTCGCAGCTTGCAACACATACCGGAGAGGCTGGCCTCAACTTTGATATTCAAGGAGCGACCATCGTAGGCCGAGGAACCTCAAAAACGGAGAGGCTGACGCTTGAGGCATGGTACTCAGACGCCGAACTCTGTCTATAGGCATCTGGACCTGCCTGCTGCCTACAAAGTCCTACGCCATTACGTAAGTAAAGGACAGGACATGGTCAAATAAATGTCAGAACTTGCAAGCGAAGACAACTCCGTGAAGAAACCACCGGAAGATGGAGCAGGATTACCAGCATCCTCTACCATGGGGATGGAACAGAACAACAACTGCTGTCAAGCTATGCCAATATCCACACGGAAGACTAAGCAGCGAACGGAGAAAAATTGATCAGCACACGGCTGATAGGTACAGCCGCAAAGGCAGCAAACCAAAAAATTTATTCCGGGGTGCAGAACATGAACTATAAGCAAAATAATTAGATTATCTGCTGTCGTATATGCGTTGCAATACACAATAACTAAGAACATCCCAATGAACACTTTCCTACTTTCGAAGAGGAAAAGTTATTAAAATGCTGTTATTCGAACCCAAATCTGTCGCTAATAGTCTCCGCATATAACCTACCTTGGGTTTTGGAATAGGCTTTTGGGGTGTTTTTCGGACCATCTTCTTCATGGCGTGGTAGTATTTTTTTTGGTCATCAGTCATAAACATTTCCACAGACCCACCGACCTACAAAAAAGGTAATTAGACGTAGGCAAAGAAATTCGTAGGTAAAACAGTTGCGTATAGAGAAAAATAAGGACTAGTTACTACGGAAACCAGCTTACCTTCTTCTTCTGGACATTAAAGTTCTCAATTATCACACCAATGAAGAGATTGAGTGTGAAGAAGGAGCCGAAAATTATGAAGACGACGAAATAGAGATAGTAATACGTGAAATTGTTGTAGACCGGTTGCTGATCAAACTAAAAAGCAGAAAGGGGAAACTCTGTGGTAAAGGACCAATGGGGTGGTCAGAAATGAATGCACCACCGTACATCTGTCTTAATTCAAAGAAAATACGCCAGGTACGCATGAAACACAATTTCTAACTGCTTCAATGTGTCACTGGTATATTAATTTCTTTGCTGCGTTGGTCTTCGACAGAAGTTTGCGGTGCAATTCCAAAATTACTTGGTTACAATGACAAAGGTCTGCATTAATCCACCTCGGCGAATTATTACTTTTTATATTTCAAGTTTTCCGTACTTCCCCGAATATGTAGAGCTCAAATTTGTCTAAAGAATAGGCACACTGTTGATTTCTCAGAGTCGCAAGATGCTCAGGAAAGCAGTTCACAGGCAGCTTTCGGCAATATATCAACACGAACGAAGAAAGGTTTAGTTTCTGATTGGAAGACAAATTGAATAGAATGACTGTCACATTTTAAACATACTGCTTTTTACTCCAGTCATTCTATTTCAGAAGAAGCTTATATGCATGGACTTAATTGTAAGAAGCGAAATCTACTCAGACTTCCTTCAGGATAGAAGGGACATAATCATATAAAAATCAAAGTTCACTTTGAAACATTTATTCCTAAACGGAGTTTGTCGTAAAATAATTGAAAACCTCCACCGGAAGACAAACTGTATGGCCATCCAAATGTCTCTGTGACACGATTGTATAGCTGTCTTTATTGGGCGCTGCCCTTTTCCCGTGACAGACCATTTTAGTACCTCGGCATACAGTCCTTTGTTCGAAAAGAAACTAAGTCGCCGGTCATAGTTTCCTGCCGGTGGCCCATCTGTGGCTCTTTCAGCAAGATGGCAAAAAACAGATCAAATTCCGACGCGTTAACCTTTGAGTTTTTGACCTTTTGGATAATATACGAATCGTTTTCTTAAGAAAACTTACCGCTTTTTCAACTTTAAAAAGTTCAAAAATCTCATTCTATACAGGAAAAAGTTGTTCAACGTTAGAAAACGTCATAAGGCGTTAACAAGCAGGTACCATGTTTGATCTCACATGCCTTGTTCCTTATGCTCCATAAAAGGATAACAATGACACTTTCTGAAGGTCTGTAGTGACCCCGTAGCCTCTCCTACGTTCGGCGCCACGCCACGTCACGCCACGCACGAGATTACGTGATTGCAAGGTTCGACCTGCTTCTGGGACAGCCAATCACAGATGCCGCAAACTGCACCAACGTTGAGTCTCTTGTCTCGCGCAGCTACTAGCATGTGTGCACTTATAGGCCGACCCGAATCCGTTTAGCCAATTACCTTCAAGGCTGTCTCACACAAAGACAACTCTGCAGACGCTGTCATGATCACCACGTTCACACACTTCGGACACTACCCGTTCGGGTGCAGACGCATGTTCGTCTGATAGTCAACTTCTACTACCTATTCTCCACTATATCCGCACAGAATACACTACTCCTTCCACCTGGCGCCTCAGTTCTTCTCTTCTCACAAGAAACTGGACCTGAAGATCGCAGCGCAAGGGTTCTATCTAATAACTTAGCCCATTGCGATAGGCCTGTTGCTGAGGCAGATTCAATTTGAGGGACATCAGTTAGAGATTTAGTTTGTGGCCCTCGCAATTCCAGAGGAATGGAGTCGCATGTTTTTACATTTTGAAAGGTTAAAACATTCCCTTTTCTTTACAGTGGGCGAAAATTTATTCTGGAAGAAGATGTCAAGCTTTCACTCCGAGTTGCACAAAATAGAAGTCCCGAATAACCAAACAGTAATATTTTCGTTCAACGCGGGATTTCCATATGCAGTGTCATCTGGTCAAGTCTTCATGCTATTTTACTCTCGTAAGTATTTAGTTTCATTCTCAATCAAAAAGAAAAAAGACAAACGCGAGGCATGAACAAGAAAGCAAGGGCGATACTCATCCCTAGGCACGGAACATAAATATTTCCTGTTTTACAAAAAATGGAAACCTGTCCGATATAAAAACGCAAAGGAAAATGAACGTACATCGACTACGTCGACGGCATCGGCCATGATCTCGATCCAACCTTTGAAAGTTGCCTACAAGATAAAATGAAAAATTACACCTGAGGGATGCTTTTGGAAAGATCAAAAAGAAAAGCAGTGTTTTTCGGCAAAAGATAATATTATTCTATCATTTGCTGCTAGCCATGTACATTATTCTGAAGCAGAATATAATCGTGGTGATTTAAAGAAGTGGCGCACAGCTGAGGAGCTGAACGTTTCTATCAAAGCGTCATCAGGCTTCAGTTTGGCATGTTAATTTTAGTCTTCCGGAAACAGTCCTTAAGAAAAGCTACACCAAGAGAATATAAATCTTAAAAAAATA